GCTGCTCGAGCTTGTCAAGCTCGATTTTTTAGGCTCGAGCTCGACTCGATAAGAAATTACAATAGCTCGAGCTCGGCTCGTGCTCGACTCGAAATCAAAATACTCGAGCTCGGCTCGAGTTCGGCTCGAAAATTAGATAAAATTACCATTAAGCACCTATGCTAATATATATAATAAGGGGTATTTTTGTCATTAACGTATATCTCGAGCCGCTCGATGAGCCGCTCGACAAGGCAAAATATAGGCTCGAGCTCGACTCGAGTTCGTGCTCGAGCCGCTCGAGCTCGACTCGAGTTCGGTCAAACTCGAGCTCGAGTCAAGCTTTGACTCGAGCGCTCGCGAGCGGCTCGTGAGCCGCTCGACTCGTTTGCAGCCCTAGTTGGGCCAAGACATGGGCCACCGCGTTCGCAATTTACACGTTGTTTTTAAATTAAATCGTGTTTTGACACGTTTCGACTGGATGAACCATGAACCCGTTTATAATCAGTCTAGTTCGTTTGAATAAAATATTTGTTATCAAAATCCATCAACACCAGTCGGTTGAACTAGTAGGATCGATACGATTTTCTAAATAAATTTTGTTACATTTAAAATTATTTTAAATAAAATTACATATACATTGTTTATTCATTAGTTTAAATATTTGAATTTTTAAATTTTTTATTAGATATTTAAGTTACATATTTTATTTGAATTTATTACGAAAAGTAATATATATATATATTAGCATATTTTCAAAGAAAAAAAAAAAATATATATATATATATATATGTATGTATTATAGCATATTTTCAAAGAAAAAAAATTAAATTTTACGATTTTTATAAATTAAATTGTATGATATCCTAAAGTGTATTTATAAATTAAGTTGTATGATTGTTACAGAAAAAAAAAATAATAATAAAACTATTATTTATAGGTTGCATTAAATGATGACCTATTTTTTTCTACAATTTTTAATAAATATGTTTTCTCTTTATATATATAGACGGTGTTGTTATGAAGCTAACAGTTGGCTCCATAGTGGAACCAACCTTCTATATCAGTGGCGAAACTATGTTGGGGTCGGGAGAGGCGCCGGCCCCTCCAAAAAAAAAAAAAAAAAATTAAACTAAGGGTGGAGGATTTTGCTGAAACTGGAAGATTTTCCTTTGAGTGCGCATGTTGGGCCCTCCCCGGTTTCATGCGGTACATACATGGCCGGAGGGGCGCCACCAATTTTGTCGTGAATTTTTTTTTTTAAAGGCAAATTGGGCATGCCCGAAACGGGATCCTGGTTTCGGGACAAGTACAACAACAGCAGAATTTAATAATTTTTTCATTTTTATTATATTTTGAGTTGGTTAATTAGCCGACTTGTTGTGTACCGACGGGACTCAAAACCAAATCGATCATTACCGAAAAATACTTTTATGAAAGTACGGGAAGCGAAGAGTGCGTTGGTGGCGTCGCTTTATGATTTTGAGGTCCCGACCATTTATTTTGGGTAGCCCAAAGTTGATATAAAAATGGCAGTGGCGGTAACTTTATTGTCATTTTCATGTCTAGATTTCGGGTAACCGTCGGCCCTTGTTAGGCGTGGTGAAAATTAGCGGGAGTGCTTTCTTGAAAGCACGAGAACAGTAGAAGCCGTTCGTAAAATTTATTTCACGTTTCGAAGTTTCGAGCATTTATTTTGAGAAGTTCGAAGTCGAGTGCGCATAATAAAAGAATAAAAAACCGTTTTGCGGGGTTCCGTAAGGTTGCGTGTGACCTCGGTTTAATGAGAATCAAGTTGGAGCGTGTAGACAATTCAAGCACAATTCCGTATGGATAAATTTCACATTTTTCGGAGTTTCGAGCATTTATTATGAGAGTTTCAATTTCTGTATTGAATAGTATCAAAATGAGCAAATTTATCGAGGACGGGTTCGATCGTTCGAGGCTTCGTTTTTTCAATTTTTTCAGCTTTTCGTCTATTCGAAAGGAGGTATTTATTATTATAATTGAGTCCGAGATTTTTATTAGTATAAATTTGAGTATTTTTCAAGTTAAAACAATTCAGTTTAAGTATACCAGTTTAATTTCGGACTTAGTTTGATTTTTAGAAAAATCTCTAGAGTATTTCTTTATATCTTGCGAAATTTTTTGAGAGCGTCCACAAAAGCCCTTTGAGCGCCCTCCCGATGCCGGAGTGGGGGTGGTGCGCCGCGGCAAATTGGGTCCTCCCCGGGATGACCGGTTGGTTTTGCCACTGTTCTATATACAACATATAAACCTACCATATTAATAAAATTATATTATTGTTATTTAAGTAATCCGAGAATATGATAGATTTACTTGTTGTCTATAGAAAGTTGACTTCGTAGCAAAACCGTATATATAAATACATGCATATTTAGTTATTTACCTGCACAAATTATTGTCCATACAATTTAATTGTTAAGTGGGTGACCAATTGTATTTTGTAAATAAAAATACGATCGTCTAACCGTTAAATCTCTCAAACTTTAAACGTACTATATATTATTTCATGTTGCAATTAAATAGAAAATTTCACTTCAACTAAAAGGATTAAATATGAATCCTAAGTCACATAGCCTTTCACTATCTAGCAAGACAGTGCTTTTATACATGAAAAGTATGTTTTTTTTAAAAAAAAAAAAAAAATTGGATTTTCAGTGACTAGCTGGAAATACCCATACCAAATGTTTTTGCAACTAGTAAGGACCATAATATATACTATAATTATTGAAATTTCAATCATAATTAAACACTGCACATGCAATTTCTCCTACTTTAATAGTCCCCATGTCAACTGGCTCTTCTCATTATTGCTATAAATTGAAAGGCTGATTACAAAATTAGTTTTGACTCACATAAAAGGGGGAAAAAAAAAACAAATCAACAACCCTTCAACATTGTTCACAAATATCCAAATTAAAAATTCAGGTTCTCATCGAGTTTTTAACCGTTCGATCAACCCGCGAATAGAACCGAAGCTGATAGTAAATACCCATAACTTGTTATTGTTAGCACATCGTATAATATTATTTTTTTATTATCAAATATCAAACCATAATAATAATAATAATAATAATAATAATAATAATAATAATAATAATAATAATAATAATAATAAATATGGGAAAATAAGAAGCATGGCAAAATAACATTAATCCACATTGTTTATAAGAGACAAATTAATGCGCATGTAACATATACACACTTTTAAGGTACATGTGAAAATTAATGCATATTGTTTTGCCCAAATCTACCAGCAGAAAGAATGCAATAACTTGAAGGAGAAAAAAGATGGAAGATGCCCATTTCTTCTTATATAATCTGCTCTCTCGGAGGTTTTCATAGCCTTTTCTTGAAGTTTAGCCTCTGCATTAGCTCGTTTTTCCTCGGCTATCCTCCGAGTCGCTGCTATTCGGCTGTTGTACTTCTCTTGCGCCCTCGATTTAAGTCTCTCTGCCTTCACCTGCAAGCATATATATACAAACTCGAATTATGAGCCGATCAACGAGCAAAATCATGGGCATCTAAAACTAAAAGCCAACGTGTTAAAATCGACCGGAAAAAATACCTCAACTTTTCGATTCTCCATTTCGGCTTTCCTCTTTTGATGATTCTCCCAAGCTTGAATCTTCACCTCTTCCCGTTTAAACCTACGCGCACATATACACACACACGTCGATCATCACGATTTATCTCTCGGAATTTTATCGCTTTCTTATATATATACAAATATAAATATCACAGCATTCGAAACAACAATGTATCTATCACCTTGCCGTGTATTTAGCTCGCTCGGCTTCCTCCCAAGCCATGGCCTCGACTTCCATAGGGCTCATTTTTTTCGACCCATCCTCACCCGTGGGCCCGACCTGACCCGACTCACCGTGTCTCCTCTCACTCGTGCTCCCGCCATTCAAACCCTCAGCCCCATCTGGGCCCAACGAGACCGGGCTAGAAGGCCCAGACGAGACCGGGCTCACGGCCCGGATGGGGGTTGCGGCCCGCGAAGGCTCCTGGCTAGCGATTGGGGTCATCTCAGTCCCCATGTCCCGGAGGCAGATCGGGCGGACGGTCGAGTAGGTGGGCCCGGTCACCACATTCTTGGTCTCCACCACCTCGACCGAACCGGGCTCGTCGGTGACCGGGGGCCCGATCAGCCGCGTGTCGTCCGCGTTGGAGTTGCGTGGGGAGGACTTGGGGTGGCTCTTCTCGGCGCCCCTCGAGAGGTTCACGAGCCATTTCTGAGCGTCGTCCCACTTGGACGGGGCCGGTTTTCCGAGGGCCCCTCCAGCCCGGTGGGGCCCGCGGGATACCTTATCCTCCACTGATCTCATTTTTTTTTTTTTTCTCTCAAACTTATCAATCAACCAAACACAAGATAAGAAAAATGTTGAATAACAGCAAATTGAGACATGAAGACCATAATAGCAGAGGAAAACTAAAAACTTTACATAAACCCATGAATTAATGTTTGATAAAACCTTAGTGATATAGTAGATATTTATGTAAGATAAACATTAACTCAACTGAAAATGTTTGTAGAGTAAAGAAAGTTCAATTAATATAGTCTAAGGATAGAGAGAGAGAGAGAGAGAGAGAGAGAGAGAGAGAGAGACTTTACTTGATGTGGGACTTGAACTTTCAGTTGAAACTTTTTGAGAATTTAGAGCAAGTATATGAGGTTTTCAGATCCATCCCCCAATGGTAGAAAAGTACTAAATTACTTCATTTTTTGTGCATGGAATGATGAGTAGCTTCAGTTTAAAAAAAAAATAAAAAAGTAAATTAATATTACCCAATAAAATATACTGCCAAGTGGTGCATTTAGAAAACTTGTGCCTATTTCACCTAAAATAGAAAAAAATGTCGGTACATATGTGTCATTATCGATTTTTACCGTTGGATCAACACGCACTCATACGTGTGTAATGTATGTGTGTGAGTTTGTGTGATCCAACGGTTAAAAATCCGGTGAGCGCACTCCGAACCTTCCTCCAAAACATAAAACTAACTTATCTAGACTTTCTATTTTTCTGAGATTTCTTTATAATTTACCAATTTAATTATGATTTAAGCTAACTTTGTGTTTTTTTTATTTTACAGTAAAGATTAAATTATGACATCAGGCTTTGGTAGGCCATGTGGTTAAATACTATTATTCTGCAGAAGTTCACATGGCTAATTATGGGGGCAAGAAAGAGTGAATGCCTCTCTGCCTGTGCCTGGTTTTTGTGGTACAATATTTTGGTGAATATTAATGGTTTTTGTGAATGTGACTTAACTGTTGGCCGTATTTTGTACTCAGCTCAGTCCTGATAAATGGGCCCCCACCAACTCATAGCAATGGCCCTTGATCAAGAAAACTAGCCAATAAGGCCCATTAACACATCACATTCTTTTGAAAATTGTAGCTTTATTTGCAGCATATCTCATGTCTTTTGCTTCTTGGGAACATTTTTATTATTTTTTTGCTTATTGAGATAACTAAAGTGAGATTGGATATAAGAATTTTGTAAAAGATTTGTTGGGGAAAAGTGCAACGGAAAAGTGGAAGCAATGTTATCAAAACCGGATCGGACCGGCCGGTTCGACCGGTTGGACCGGGAACCGGACCTAGTACCGGTCCGGTTAAAATTATGTAAAAGTAGGAGAGATGTGATGTGAAGTGGCCATTAGTGAAAATTATGTAAGTTGATGAATGACGAATTAAAATTGATGTAATGTGTATGAATAATTGAGCAATATTATTTATAATTATATTGATAGTATTGAAGAAAGTGAATTTGAGTTAAAGGTAAGGTAGACTTTAAGTATGAATTGAGTTATTTTATATACAAAAACACACTATAAGGTTTTGTTTTGTTTTAGAAAAAAATTATCTCATCGGAGAAAAAAATGCGATGAAAAAAGAGGAAAAAGGTTGTTTTTGGGAAAGTTTGAGAAAAAAAAAAATAAGATTGTGAATAGTAGATTAGATATAAAAAATATAACGATTAAAGCTGATATAATATGAAAGTAATAAAACATTATTTGTGAATATCCAAATTAGAGCAAAAAGTGAGATATTTTGTATTAATTGGACTTTACATGATGGTAGCATACTTATAGGGACCACGTGCATTAGATTAAATGAACCCAAATCATGCATTATTTTTTGTGTTTAGCTTCATGTGTGAGTCTGCATTAATTGTTTTTATTTTTTTAGTCAATTGAGGTTCATGTGTATGCAGCTGTCAATAAGACAAATATTGGGGACCAAAATAGTATATAGCAAACCAAAATAGTATATAGCAAAAAGCTAAAATCATGGTTACCAATGACTCCTCTAAACTTACGGTTAGATTAACAAACACCGTGTGTGTGATCCAACGGTAAAATACTACGTAGAATTAGTGCTGTTAAATTAAACGAGTTTAGCTCGGCTCGTTAAGGCTCGGTTCGGCTCGAGTTCGAAGTCTTATCGAGCCGAGCCGAAGGCTCGAAAAGAGAAATTTATGTAATTTTTTATAGTTCGGCTCATTAAAGCTCGAGATCGGCTCGTTAAGGCTCGAGCTCGAGCTCGAGATCGGCTCGTTAAGGCTCGAGCTCGAGCTCAAACACCTTAAGCTCGAGCTCGGCTCGGCTCGTTTACAGCCCTACGTAGAATCGAACTGGGCAATGAAATTTTGCTAACTGGGTGACTGCAAATGCGAGAAAAGCAGAATTTAACGAGGAGAGCGAGGTTGTAGCTCCGGTCGTCGACGCAGTCGAATTTAGGGCAGAATGTACAACATATAGTTATATACAAAAAGGTAAAGATCAAAACTTCAAAGCAGTATGATAAAAACACCAAAACTAGCATGAAGATGGAAAATCAAGCTGCCTTTCCTATATATAATCATCAGGCTAATGTGAAATTCAAAACTTTACAAGGGTTGTCTCTAAATTTTTTTTTTTTTTTTTTTCCTTTTCAATTATTTTATTTCCAAAAACAGCTACAAAAAACATTAATCCCAACTAATTCAATCAATAAAATTCCAACCCCAAAAGTCACTCTTTTCCTTCAAATATTCCTTTCATTTTATTCACATAATCACGCAATTACACTTCGACTCCAGCTTGGCGGGCTCCACGCTGTCAACTTCATTACGAACTCTAACAATGACCGGGCTTGAGTTCGCGTCAGCTTCAGCATTGCAAGAAAGAGGCTTTGTGTCCATTTCGGGCTTCTTCTGCCGGGCTCTTTGGACCCTCGGGCTACGTTTCCTCATGGTCCTCAAACGCATATTATTGTCCCTTCTTTTTGAATTGGGCCCGCCCAAAAATGCCACTGCAGGCCTAAGGACTTCCGTTGGCGGGCTTTCCTTATTTATTGCCATATCCGCAGCTTCGTATGCGAGGCTGTGGACTATGGAGCTGCAGAAAAGGATAGCTTCTGTGGCTTCTTCAACGGTCACTAGGCTACTCGGTTTTGTTTCGTCTGTGTCTTCTGACAAATTCCTCGATTCATCTGTGATTAGAAAAGATGCTTCGAATATCAAATAACAAATCAAATGTGCATCAAAAAAAGTATTAAAATGTCCCCTAAATTGGAGTGCTTACAAAATAACAAAAAAAAAAAAACAAGTTTATATTAAAGAAAACAAAGCTCCTGATGTATTTATTCAGAGTTCATTTGTTAAAAATATTTTTCAATAAAGGGGTATTTTTTCTACTTGAAAAGAATCTGGGTGATCTGTAATTGTCCCCAATCCCCATAACTCAGGAGGTAAAGCAAACAACTTCAGAAAAATCATCTATTATGCCTACAATTTATACATTGCATGCTTTTCTAATCATGGATCGACAATCTCTGCACAAGCATATATACGGTGAGGGCAAACGTTCAAAGTTCTTTAAAAGCCGTACCAGCTGAAACAAATGGTCAAACAAATGAAAAACAGGAAAAAAAAAATAAATAAATAAATCAAACAGTATTCAGATTTTGATATGCTCATACCACGAACATGATGGCCATGTATCGATATTTCAAATCCTTCGACAGATTCTGTAATATCCTCATCTTTCTGTATTTCATTCGTGCAGCTCTTTGAATCAATGGCATCAACATCAGATACAACACCAGCATCAAAAGAGCTCGGTTTAGGAACTTCTGAGATATCCACCCGATCAGCACATGAACTTGGCAAGCCCACATCTTCATCCTGCTCGGAAGCCATAGATTGTTCAGGCAAACTTTTGTCATTCACTGAATCATAAAAGTGGCTCGTTACGTTTTCATTGCTCTCCTCTAACACCAGCTGCTCTTGAGTTCTAAAAATGTCATCTTTTTCAGTATTAGCGCATGTACTATAATATGTTTCTTGTTCTTGAGGATCCGAGCATGTTTGCTTCTCAAAGTCCTCAAAACCATCTTCACTCGTGACATGCAGCAAATGAGTCGAAGCACCAGATATTGACGAGTCTGTGCGTATGTGCACAGTAGGCATTTCGTATCTATAAGTTCCCACGTCAGAATTCGGGCCGCTCGTCTGCCGACAAATCCGGCGATCCGTTTGCCTGGAAGAAAACCCGCCCAGATCATAAGAAGACGATACGGATGCACTAAACGTGCTTTTCTTGCTGTTCGAACTGTTCCTCGCGCATGAAAAATCGTCAAAGCTGGTGTTGTTACTTGCCGTAAAACTCCTGCTCCGGATAGTAAAAAAATTATTACCAGACATTTTCGGAGCACCGGCTCCTGAGTTCGAACCGAACCAATCATGCTGCAATTGCTTAATCACTAGTCGAGAGGTGAAAGTAAGTTCATTGTCTTCTTCAGTCGGCTGTGTCACAAGATTTTCGGAAGTTGACACCATTTTCGGTAGTTGACTTTTCTCAATATAATTTTTCCCTTCCGAAATTTCAACCGGGTTAACGGTCGTTGAATTTGCTTCCAAATTTTCGCACTCGTGACAGATAGGTGGGCCCCCCTCGACTATAACTACTTCAGATGAATTAAATATCAAGCCGCATATAGAGCACACGATTACCGTATTAACCGGAGGGGCATTAGCGTCGGAAAATTCACTTCTGTTCACATCCATAATTGTGCCAGCTGTGTCGACAGCTGGGTCCCGCGAGATCTTGTCACTTAAATCATGTGCCTGATCCATGACAAATATGTCGTCGTCATCAGCATATGAATCATGGTCCTTAAAAGGGTCGATTGTCGTGTCTTCTTGTTTTGGCTCGTTTATTTCGGTATCCTTGGATCCACTTGTCCCTAGGTTGGTACTAGGATTGTTTCTAGCTGTGATTGAAGAATATTTAGGTGCCGAGGAATAATGTGGTGAACTTGCATGTCCTGCATGAAATGTCGAACTTGGGACACCGGAAAGCAGCGGTCTGAACATATTCGGTGGACTTTTTCGATCCTGAACATTGAAAGAGAGAGAGAGAAAGGGAGAGGAAGCAAAAAGATAAAAAGTATGAATAGGAACAAAGTTTTAAACACAGAGAGAGAGAGAGAGAGAGAGAGAGAGAGAGCAAAATTATCAAATATGAATAGAAACAAAGTTTTGCATGTTTATTTCGTCCAGTTAATACTCGTTGGAACAATGACTAAAGTACTTAACCAACAAAAACGTAAACATAGTTTGGCTTAAGAAATATTAATAGCATTTCATCTATAAAAGTACAACTTTATAACGATCAAACAAATTGTTGAACATAGTTACAGAATCAATCATGCTCATGCTTTAATTTGAGGACATTTTCATCCGAAAGATATGACACTAGGAACATATTTAATGTTTCAGAGTCGAGGTTGCAATAAAGGGGTTGAATCAATAAATATGTCAAAAAAGTAAATGGATTACGCCACAAGAACATCGTGTTATGAAAAGCATAAGCGGAAAGAGCGGAACAAAAAATATTCTGCAGAAGACAAATAATCAAAAACTATAGTCTGTTTGAGAGCTATATATTGGTCCATGAAAGTACGTGAGGATATAATACCTACTCCATAACCAATAAGAGCGGTCCGTGTGCTCTGAAACACCACATTTGAAATTTTGAATTGCAAGTAAAACAACAGCTTAAACAAATATACACCATACAAAAAGTTACAGATCCTCTGCATAGAGGCACCGTATCAAACAATTTGCAAAGAAAAAAAAAAAAAAGAAAAGAAAAGAAAGAAGTTGGTATATTTAAATCATTAAAAAAATATCCTTACCATTTGCCGACTCAAATCTAATGATCTCTTCGTGGCCGAGCTCGACAAAACCCTCGTCTGTTTCCTCGAAATGCCAGCATCCCTTCCGACCACAGAGACCGACTGCAGAGAATCCTGGTCATCATCGCCAGAAGACACAACCGAGCCTCTGGACGAGCCGATGCTTCTAGAAGCACTTGGAGAAATCGACTTTCTTCCATTCCCAGAAGCTGGTGATGAACCCCTCACATACGAGGCCGGCCGGTCCACCCGAAGGTTCGGGGGCGTTTCGGAGGAAAATCCCGGAATGCTCGACTGCCATGATCTTACTTTTGGTGGGGCCGAATTCCCTCGGCCTGTCTTGACTGGCGATGCACCTCTCGTTCTTGATGGGGTGGTTGTGCTGGATATTATCCTCAGTGGTGTCGGTGAACTGGACCTGGGTGGGGGCGAATGACCTCTTGAAGGAGGGCTTGAGCGAGTGACAGAGAAAGGTTTGCTCGGTTTTGGAGATGGGCTACGGCGATGTGGGCTTGGACTGGCTCTAGTTCTACTGCTCTTTTGACCTCTCTCCATCTGAAGTTCCAATATCGATTAAGTATGGAAATGGTACCCAATTTTCCATATTTTTAGGCTCTAGCTCGGTCTTTAAAAGTACAACTTGTGAGGAATTTTTATTTAGAAAAGTTATCAGTTTTTAAAGTAAATTGAGCAGCAGGAGTATTTAGTAGTTACTATTTAGTTGCAGATCATTTAAGCTTGAGCTAGAATTGTGAGAATGTGAGAAGTATTAGGGATTGACTGCATAAATAGATTCGGCATTCCTCAACTTGGATAAAAGGTATTTCGATGCAATTATATGCTGATTGTATCTTTGAATTATTACCAAGGGTTTGCTCGTATGTGCACGATTGACTTGTGATGGCGCCTCGTCATCCAGCGAACGAAAAAGAGGAGTTTCTGGAGGAGTTACCAACCTATAGTTGATCGATTTGTATGTTAAACAGAAGAAGAAAAAAAAATGTATTAGCATGAGCTAGTTATCGGACTATGATTGAACGATCAAGATACATGCTGCACAAAAAAACAGCTAAGACCACGTGGAAGAATCTTACACATTATATTAGCCATGTTCAAATTCAACACTGCAGGATAGATAATAAATACGCACGACTAGATAGACAAACAAAAATACCAAATCTGTAATTATACGAAAACGTTAAAAGTTATCGATCATGATCATCAATGCCCTTTTCATTTACACCTAACGAACAGAATGAAACAAAAAATGTATCAACGAATCTTTCAGAAGGAAGAGAAAAACCAACCACTCATAGTCCTTTTTATTATTGCCCCCATCATTGAGCAGGTCACTACTCTCTCCTCGACTGGGGGCTGAAATTCCAAGCTTATGATCCGAGAAATATCCTAATTTTGTCGCTGTTGATAACATAAATAATGCAAAAAAAAAAAAAAAATCGTCAGTAAAGCAACATTTTTAAACCACAACGCACGTGCCACGTGCTCTATCTATGCTGAAAACTATCTAGATCAAAGTTAATAGCACACTAGTACAGGATGTGAGAATTTACAGAAGATGTCGTCAATATTTTCGCTCGAATCCAACAAGAAATTTTCTCTCTCTTTGTCCCGAACCTCATTGAATAGCTCGAGATTATCTTCATTGGCTCGATGCGAAATCCCACTCTCAAGACTATGCCTTCTCTTGTGATTCTCGGCTCTAAGATCCCTACGGGGTGACATTCTTGTTGCCCGTGAAGGGGACATTTTTCCGTACATGGTCTAGATTAATTCCTTGATGAATATTTAAATCTCGAAAGTGACTGCCACGAAGAAGCAATCAATCCTATGAATACCACACAATTTTCTTCCTCTACCAAAACGGACAACGTTTCACATATCCATTATTTCTTTCTGTTTTTCTAACTTGCAATCACACACCATAAACTAAAAGCTGCCCAAATTCTTATACCTTACTAAGGTTCACCTCAAAAGATCACACCTTTAACCATTAAAACCCACCCAAGATTCTAAACCCAGATCAAAAAACGTCTCCCACTTCAAAAAAATGCCATCCCTAAATATTGTTCATTCAATAGAACCAAAAGAACTAACCCAACCCCTCAAACTCCCAACAAATTCAGCTACTCCAAACAACAAACAAGCTCAACTAAAACATACAAAAACACAAAGTTCGAACTCCTACCCATTTGAAAAACTCACTGCCACACAAAGAAAATCCATAATTATTTCCATGTTGGTTGTGTGTGAATCAATATATACAACATGTAATAAAATAATTGCCTAAAACTACATAACCCCAATAACTGAATCCATAGACAATAATATAGAAACAAAGACAAAAATGGCCAAGAAAATGTGCAATTATTGTTCGAAATGAAATGGGCAGCCTCAGCCTCAGCCTCAGCTCCATCACCAGCAAAAGAAGCAAAATGAAGCAGAAAACGGTAGGACAAAAGATGGGTTCTTTTATTTTGGCCTTCACAATAAATGAGAAACAATTAAAGAAATATAGGATGGTGAAAAAATTGGTACAGTGACGATGTTTTCTGTTGTTTTGCCTTTGAATACTCTCGCTAACTTTTCATCTCTGCAACTACTTGCTTGTGTTCTTTTCTGTGTTCTCTCTCCAACTTTACTCTTTCAGTTGCGTTGTTCTGTTTTTTTCTGATTTCTTTAATTACAAAACTAATATTTAATAAAACTAATATTTACAATTTTCAGTTTATTATTAAATAAATAAATACAGATGCCATTAGGACTATATACCATTAAATAAATACAGATGTATTTGTACACAATTGTGTATATGCATTAAATAAACTAAACAAAAAGTTACAATATTTTTTTACTTTTTTTAAAAAAAAAAATTGGTTTCCAACATAAAATATGTGGAATAGTATTTTTTTCTAAATTAAGTAAATTGTGTTAACAATTTATAAAATATTGTTACTAAACATTACTGAATTTTATAAAACTGCAAATAATATATACATACTTATCAGTTAAATGCTAAATTAGCATACACCATGATCAAAAATAGAATTACACAATTTTAAATAATATTTAGACATTTATATTGCATAAACTCTCATTAAAATTGCACTAGAATATATCAAAATGAGGATGGAATAATTTGTTGTTATATATATATGGCTGTGCCAGCATAAATTAATGGGGATTGGTTTATTATAGTATTATTATCTACATATGTCATTTTAGTAAGTAGGTGATGATAAACAAGTAGCCTTTCTATTTCAAATATGTGAATGATTATCCATCATTGGCTTATGATAAAAGTTTGCTTTCATTAAAAAGCTGTAATCAACCATATTATATATGTGGATGTACCTTATTAAGTACAGCTTTGGAAAATTCTTTACAATTGTTGGCTTGTAGTGCATATAGGTTTTGTGATTTATTTATGATATTAGTGTAGATAATATCACTCATAAACTTCAACATAAAATTATGTAAGACGGCCTAACCATTAAGCGATCGACTCATTATACTTTGTAAATGAAAATACATATTTACACTGCCAAATATCATGTTTGAATCTATACTATATATTATTTTTTCCATTGTAAGCAATATATATTGTTGGAAAAGAGTATGCTCAAAATGGTTAGACTAACCAAATAAAAGATCAACAAAAAACTTAATTTTGATACATATATGCTAAGATTATGATTATTTACACATAATATTATATTTAAAATCAGCCATCATCATGTCTCTGCATTACTTATGTAAGCATCTATACTTATATTAAAAGCCATACTATTTACCAAAAATAGTAGCAAAAAAAGTCAACTCACATTTAATGCATACTTTATTTAGAAATTTTTTACTATATGCATTAATTGTTTGCATACATACATTTCATATTCAAATATGATCAAAAAGATTCTTTCCTTAAATAATTTTATTAACTTTGGTAATGATTTTACTGATATATATTATAATTCATATTTGTCGATAGTATTTTTTAATTTTTATTTGAGTATATAAAAAACAAATATTCTTTTAAATGATATTACTGATGGCTAGATAATAAATTAAAATACATTAATTATTCTTTAAAATTTTGGCATGTTATTTATTTGTATCTATACTTCTTATATAAGGTATCCTATTTACCAAATTTAGTAGATTGAAAATGCAACGTAACTAACGCGTTGCTATTTTTATCCAGAATTTTATTTAATTATTTTATTTATTTGTCTTATATCCCATAAAATCAGTTTAAGGAAAAAAAATCCCATAACATCTGACAAGTAAAAAAAAAACGTAAAATCTTTACTAAAATAAAAAGACTTTATTTATTTGTCTTATTTCATATTAACATCGATTTTTTCAAAATAAATCTCATAAAATCAATGAATTCAAAATTTGTACGTAAAGTCTATCTATCCAAAAAAAAAAGTGAGATTCAAAATTCCTTATCTAATTCCTTCTTTTTCTTATCTAATTCCTCATTTTCCTTATGTAATTCCTTTTTATTATCTAATTGTATGAAAATATGTTCTGATTTTGTTCAATCCTCTAATTGTATTTGTATTATATTCCATAAAATGGTTTAACAAAAAAAAAATCTCATAACATCCGATAAGTAAAAAAAATAAAGTACGTAAAATCTTTACTAAATTAAAAAGACTTTATTTATTATCTAATTGTATGAAAATTTGTTCTTGATATTATGGTACGTACTACAAATTGTGCACCCGTGTTCAGGAGCTACTTAACGGGCAAGCTCTGTGGAAATGACTCATTTAGTGCTTCTGTCTCGTGCATACAATATGTATTTTTATTATACATACTATAAAATTGTGCACCCCGTGCATCGCACGGGCTTTGTACTAATAAATGACCTTAAAATTGTGCACCCCGTGCATCACCCATATTGACATTTTGGTCTATTACAGGTCACGTACTATATATATCCCGTACATTTTTTTTTATTCATTTATATAATTATAAGAATGAATAAATGACCTTAAAATTGTGCACCCCGTGCATCGCACGGGCACTGTACTAGTTTACATAAACTAGCATCTTTCTAACATTATTAGGTATTACTTAATAATTTATCTATTTAACCCTACATTTTAGTGAGGATATATCATGACTTGTTATATATATAGAGGGATTAATTAAAAATAAAATCACTCCGTCCATTTTGAACTGCACGTTCCATATATATTGGACTTCTATAAATATTTTTAATCTAAAGGGATTGTGTAAGCTTATTTTGACTCTGTGTCTGAGTTTAATCTTACTCTGACCCAAACATATACACATAATCAAAAGATAAAAATACTATACTTGACATAAGTCTAATATTTCAGAGTCGGTTCTATTTATATAGAATCCCACTTGGCTTCATTGGGACCGCAACCATTTTTCTCCAGTTTCTTTCAATAATTATTAGTTAATATTATTTGATCCTATCTTTTAATTTATAGTTATAATTAATATTGTTAACTCGTGCATCGCAAGGGCTACGCATTAGTAATAAATACGAGCTTATCGAGGCGAGTTGCATCTCTCATCAAGTTAACGAATTGATAAACAAGTCCAAAATCAACTCGCTTATCAACATTAGTGAGTCGAGATCTAGAAATTTACATAAAATTTCTTATTGTTAAGTCCTAACTAGACGAGCTCGACTCATACTAAATGATCTTTACACAAGCTTGTGTCTTAACTAGCCGTGAATTCGACTCAATTCGTTAACTAAATAATCGTTAACGACCTCAGGTTTTAAGTAGCCCAATTGAGTTCAATAGTAGCTGGTTTTGTTAACAACTCTAGTCATAAACTTTAGTTCACAACTAACATAAAAATTACTACACAGTTGTTTTGCTTTCTTCACCGCCCACAATTCACTCTTTGCTCTACAATCCTTTGCTTCTCTGTGGCGACCTTCGTATCTTCTCGTTTGCACCTCCTTTCCCAGTTCTACATCGCCACCCTGAAGATGGCTGCAACCAATGGATCCGCCGCTGTAGCCTTCAAGCCCGCCGGCGCTTCCCATCGGAAAATCGCCAATTTCCGGAATGTGTCGGCGTCTCCGCAGGCGAAGCTTCCGCGGTCATTCAACACACAGTCGTAAAATTTATTTAGTTTTCTTTGTAAATATGCTATAATATATATATATATATATATATATTCAAATAAAATATGTAACTTAAATATCTAATAAACAATTTAAAAATTCAAATATTTAAACTAATGAATAAACAATGTATAAAACATCTATTTTCTTATATATGTAATTTTATTTAAAATAATTTTAAATATAGCAAAATTTATTTAGAAAATCGTATCGATCCTACCAGTTCAATCGACTGGTGTTGACGAATTCAATAACAAATACTACCTCCTATTCAAAATAAATGTCGTTTTGACTTTTTTGATTCATCCATTTTGCTATGTATTTAGACATATTTATGTCTAAATAAGGGTGTCCCAAAATTTGCTTCGGCAATGAATGGTAGTGCATATTGGGCATGTTGGAATTGATGCGCCTATTAGCCACTCTGGCTCTGTGTACTCTAATTGTTGCGTCCATCCTTCGGTTAATTAAAGCAATGTCCTGCTGAAGTTGGTGATGTTCTACTTGTTGATGTTGTGTGCATTTTGAATTTGTTGCATCTGATTCTGGAGTCTATGGACATGAGCAGCAATGTCAGCTTGAATTAGGTTTGGAAAGTTTTGTATCTGTGCCTCAAGGTTCTGAA